GGCAAGTTATCCCACATAGGACACTGCTGCCTCCAGGTAAGACACAGAATCAGACAATAGAAACCGGGAGTGGTCCCCCTGAGAACTTTTAAAGAGCTCCAGATGCACTGTCCTTTCCCTTGCTGTCTCTCTCATTGGCCACAGAGGCCGGCACCCAGACTCTCTGTAGACCGGTACTCAGGGGCAAGCCGCAGATGGCTCCTCTTTTGGCTCGCGAGGTGGTGAGGAGATGGGGACATGATTATGGTACTGGAGGTGGTGATTTGGAGGAGAAAGCAGGTTGAGGGTTTGAGGTTCAGGAAGAAGGAGGAAATAAAAGCCCTGAGGTAGTTCTGTGGGGATGACCCTGAGCACACAGCTAACCAAACAGCACAAAGCAGAGGCGAGAATCTGCGTACTTCTCCCACATCTCCAGGCTGACGCACAGGCTGAAATCACAACTCGCTCCTGTGCTTCTCTGCCGATCTCTTGTGCTCTCTGCCCACCCTTCCTTATTGGAAACTCTCTCCAAAGGTGTCCCGGCCTAGGTTCCAAACTCTTCACAAATGATGGACTCATGGGTGTTATCAGTCTTACGCCTACTGAATAGACCAGGGCGCAGAGGCGAGAACAGTGACTTGCCCAATGGGCAAGTAACTAACTGGGAAGTAACTAACTCGAAAGTATCAAGGCTGGGATTTGAACCCCAGGAGTCTGACTCCCGATTCTGCTCTGCTGTTCTCCAGGCTCTGGGGTGTGTAGATGTTGCTGTAGCTACCGTGGTGTCTTACCTTCTACCCGCCCGTTCTTTTCCTGCCTCCCATGAAAGAACCTGTTCTTATCTTCCCAAACGCCACAAATTGCTTATTTTCTGCTTGCGTTTTGACTCTCCTGGGAGCAGCTAAAATACAGATGAACGAGAAGAAGTCGATTGCCAATGACAGAGTGGATGCGCTCAGTGACCGAAAAGGTGGCATTCTAAATTCCTCTTTTTATATGTCTACCACCCACACAATGATTTCAACCCCCCCACACCCCACACCCCGCCCCCACAAAAAAAGAAAATCCTCCCAAAGCCGGAGAAAACACACGAGCTATAAATGTGATTCTAAATCATAATCAGTCATCATTGAAGCCAGGAGCATTTCAAAGGGTGGGTCCCCTCTTCCATATTTGTTTGTAATAATTCAGTAATCCTAGTAATCAAGACACAGAGTGGAAGGCAACACAGCACCGGCGAGAAGTGGAGAAACCCAGCTGTACCTGCAGATGTGTGCTTGAACTTTTCGCTTTTCTTCTTCCTCCATTTCCAGGGCTTGAAAATCCTCCCCAGGTTGGCGAACTTACTTCTCCTGCGGATGGGTGGGGTGTGGGTGCCTGGGACGAGGGAGTCGGAGCGCATTGCTGCCAGCCTCTCCACTTCCTCGGCTTGTTTTCCCCACGACGGAGATGGAGAGAGAGAGAAAGAGAGAGGGAAAAGTGTTAATATGGGAACCTCACAGATGGCCAGCGTTTTCCATGGTTACAGATAACAGAAACCACATGACTAGCTCTGTGTCTCTTTTTGCCTTTTGGAATGGAAGCCATCCAGCATGTGCTGAAGGCTGGGGACAGTCGGCCAAACCCTGGAGACTGAGAACCCTCCGAACCAAATGTCCCAACGTGGCTGGACACTGGAGAAGGAAAGTCCACTCCAGCATGAGACGACAAGAGGGCGCTGGAGGAGC